TCTCTCTTGCACTAATTACCATAGTAAGTAGCCATAGTAAAATAGCCATAGTCTTGTGACTACTGTACTAGACAGAGCACGTAGAATAGTTCTGGCATCACGGAATGTTTCTTAGGGGCAGCACTGCTCCAGAGCTGACTTAAAGGAAACAAAGGGATGGAGACGCCCTTAATGACCCCACAAGGAAGGGTCAGTCCCATCCAGAATGTGGAAAATTCTATGGCACAACTGACTCAGTTTCTGACAAGTTGTTGTCATTAAAAAAGAAAAATGGAAGGGGTGAAGGGACTTTGTCTGGATTTGGAGATAGTTGAGACCTAACAACCGAATGTAATATGTGGACTCTGTTGAATAATTTGAACAAAGCAGTCTTTTATTTTTAATTTTTGGTATGAGGATTGAACTCAGGACCTTGTGCTTGTGAGGCAGATAGATGGCAGCATCACTGAGCTAAATCCCCGGCCCTCTCACAGATGCTGATGCATAGCTCACTTAGGAAACTCAACCTGCTGGTGTTACCTATACTTGCTAATGAATAATTCACTGGCTCTGAAGATCACAGGGTCTAACAAATGAATCCCCTGCATCTGAATATACATAAATGGCTTAGAACAGAACTTTGAAGTCTTTTTAAGTTATGCATTATGGAATAAACATTTATGTTTATGTCCTTCGAGAGACAACTACCTCTATTAAGGTTGAGTGGATACAGTTGAGAGAAGAAACCCTCTTTCCTCACCAGAGCCTTGTTACATAACCCAAGTGACTTTTTTCTTGACTTAGGATCTTGGCACAGGATCTGAACTGATCAGCATGCCCTGGAGCAGTGACCCTACACCCTGATTTGACTCCCTTTCAGACGATAAAGGAAGCTATAGGCTCCCCTCCAGAACAACACATATCTGCAAATGAAGGAAAGATTGCTTATCATTTCAGGGAGTTCAGGACCCCCCAGGACAATCACAGATCACAGGATTTAAAAACCCTGTACTAGAAGCAGAAGTGGTGGACACACTTTCATGGCTACTTTTACTGCATGGAATTTATAGTATAGACCAAAAAGCTGCACCATGCTTTTTTCTTCTTAGTTCTGTATTTTGAGATAATTTACTGTTAGGATTTATAGGTCTGCCTTGTCTTTTTTCATGCTGTGTAATATTCTACCATATGTCTAAACCATAATTTAATCTGACCCTAATGAACATTTATTTATAGTATTTTATTTTTATAAAGAAAAGTGATACAGCATACGTCTGTATTTGTCTAAAATAATTTTTTTTTTGGTACCAGGGATCAAACTTGGAACCTAGTGCTTATAAGGTAGGTGGCAGAATCATTGAGCTAAATCTCCAGCCCTGTGTTTGTAAGTATATCCCTGGGATACATTCTTAGTAGTGGAATTGCTGAATCAAATTTAAAAAAATTTTATAGACATTGTAAATTATTCTCAAGATGTTTTCTGTAATAGGCAGAACAATGGCCTCCAAAGATATCCACAATCCCTGTGTCCTGCTCAGCTTTCTTGTTGCTGTCACAAAATGTCAGACATCCACAGCTAAAGAGAGGAGAGGTTTATTTTGCTCGGCTTTTGAGGTTTCGGTCTATGGTCAGCTTGTTCCAAGGCAGGAATGTCAAGGTGGAAGGGCGTGAAGGAGGAAAGCTGTTCAACTCATGGCATCCAAGAAGCAGAGAGCAGGGGAAAACCCAGAGAAAAAGGGGCCAGGGACCAGATATAGACTCCCAGGATTACAACTCTATGACCCAGACACACCCAGCCAGTCAAATTGACAGTCAAGATTAACCACCAGACACTGAGACCCATGAGTATGTTATCTTACATAATAAGGACAAAGTTAGGTTTGAGATAGAATTAATGCTGCTAATCAACTAAAAATTTTAAAAGAGAAGTCCTGGATTATCTGGGTGATCCTGATATGATCGCAAAGGTCCTCAAAATTGGAAGAGAGAAACCGAGAAGTGGCAGCAGGAGAAAGACTTGGCTCGATGTTGGTGGCTTTGAAGTGGGAGGAAGGCAGCTTTATGCCGAGGAATAAGAGCAGCCTCCCAGACATGGAAAAGCAAGAAAACAAAGAAGGCAAGGAATGCAGCCCTGCTGGCACCTCAGTCTGGTGATGACTGTGTGGGTCGTCTGCTCCTTAAAACTGGAAGACAATAAATGTGTCTTATTTTAAAGCCCCAAAGCTGTGATTGTTATGGTGACCATAGAGAATACATTGTATGTATTTATACTCCCAACACTGTGTGTTTCTTCACACCTTCCTATTAATGTCTCCACAAAATAGTCTATTGCTTCTGTCATTTGCAGTGTTTATAATTTTGTCTTCTAATTAAAATTTGTAGTTAAAAGGGAAATCACAGCCATAATGGACTGTCATTTTCTTTGCTAATTTACTCATTGGCAAATTCCCATTTGGGGTATGGTTTCATTTTCTGGAACAGGATGTGCTGGTTTGTCATTTCAGCAATGCTGATGTCACTACCAATCAGGCTGCACTACTGATCAGAAACAGACTGGGGTCTGTTTGCTGCCACAAAGAGTCACCAGTAATGAAGCATTCTCTTGAAGGAGTAACAGTCCAGTCCTTGAATGGCTTGGTTTGGCCTTCGGCAGAGGTGGAACCCTCACTAATCACTTTGCAAAGTGGGCCAGAGTCATTGCACCTGTAGCAACTTCTGCATCTCCATGGCAGTTGGAAGTCTGACAATCATGATGGAGGAAATCAACAGAGCATAAATATTCTCTATAAATTCACCTAATATTCCCACAGTGGACTGACTGACTCAGTGATCTCTGCCTGGTTCCTTCTCATTTGATGTCCTCAGTTTGCCCTGATGTGGTGAGACGCCCTCTTACCCATGTACATTGATTTGTACAGACTGGCTTTGCCATCTCTACACTGAACATCTCTTCCAAGGTATTCACTGGTCATCCCCTATGTTACTTTATATTCAAACACTCATGCAGGGTTTTACAGATTCTGGAGACAAATAATAAGTCAACAATCATGGAAACTATACAAACAGGCTTATTTACATTCATTGGATGATACCCCAGAGGTAGTTTGGATGCTACCAAAGATATAGATTGAGGAAAGCAAAGGATATAGATATTATTGTGTGGCCATGTAGAGAAGGATCGACAGAAAGAAAAAGAATGGCTAGATGCTGGGCATGGTGCCACACATGCCCATAATCCCAGCTCCATGGAGTTTGAAGTAGGAGGATTGAAATTTTGAGGCTGGACTAGGCAACTCAGAAGAAAAACATAAATAGGGCTGGGACTGTAGCTTAGTGGTGGAGTTCTTGCCTAGCATGCGTAACGTCCTTGGTTCAATCCCCCCTTACTGGAGGAGAAGGAGCAGGGCAGAAAGGGGGCCAGGGAATGGAAGGGAAACCAGAAGAGGGCTGGGTCTGAGAAGCCAATCAAGGAGAGTCCAGTTATATTGAATTAAAGACTAGAAAGCATATGATGGGTTGGTGTAGCTCTAGGATCAATAGGATGTAGGGACAGTGATATTTAGGACACACCTACCTTTAAATGTGACTCCTGTCCTTTTTAATTGTATCATCTTAGGCAAAAGGCTGTTTGGCTTTAGATTCTGCATCTGTAAAATAGGCTTCTGCCATAAAGAATTATTGTGGGGATAAATTAATTAACATATGTGATGTGCCCAGGCTTTTGTAGATACTCATTACACATTTCCCTTCCATTATACTTCTAGCTAACTACTTATAGATCTATTTTGATTATCACTCTGATATCTTAGTATTGGTGTTATGGTTTGTATTGAGATATCCCTCTAAAGCTTCATGTGGTCACAGGTGGGGCATTTTCAGAGATGGCTGGATGTAGAATGCATGATGCTGGTGTTAAGGGTGTGTGACTACTAAAGTCCACTGATTGGTGTGGTACCACCCTAATTCTGATAGCCTAGATAGAGTATAAAAGGGGCAGAAAAAAAAAAGCAGCTAAGTTCCCTCACTTGCTTTGCTGCCTTCTTCCTGCCATGAACTGTTTCTCCTCTGCGATGCCTGTCTGCCATGCCGCCCTGCCCTGGAACCAGCTGATGACAGACAGAAACCTCTACAAACTGTGAGCCAAATAAACCTTTCTTCCCTTCATTTTGGGTACTGGCTATTTTATCACAGCCATGAGAAAAGTGACTAAGACAATTGGTGACTTACCTGTAAGAATCAGCATAGGTCCTATGCCAGTGAGCCCCTGTAAGGTGGCGAATCAGTGCTCTGGACACTGCAGGTAGCCAGGCACCCACCGAGTGCAGAGAGACAGAGCATTCGGATTGGAGAAGGACTTGGGATACAGCACCATCCTTATCACACTGATTTTTTCCCTTGCAGGTAAAGGAACTGCAGTTACTGAAATGAGCACCCAGTTCTCCTCTAGGAACATCTTTGTGTACCATTTCCAATTGTATAAATCTCTAATGAAAAAATGAATAATAACACACACACACACACACACACACACACACACACACACTATTTTTAGAGGCAGCAGTGGCCCTCCAGGTTTTTTGAATTAGCTAGGAGCAGCCACTCCCTTCTCCCTCCCTTCTTTTATTTTTTATCAGATACAGTAAACGGAAAAATGGAATTTCCTTTACTAAGAGTTCTTGCTCTGCTTGTTACTCAGACAATTTTTAGTGACCAAGAATTCAGCAAATACAGTTTCTTTGCTAGTTTTAAACTCCAGGAAAGGCTGGACAATACAATGAAGAGAAAGGATGACAAATACTCCTATTTTTTGCTAACAAAAGATACCTATCATTTATTATTATTATTATTATCATTATTATCAGAAACAGGGTCTCACTGGGTAATGCAGTCTGCCCTGGAACTCAGTATGTAGCCCAGGCTGGTCTCGAACTCTCAGAAAGCCTCAGCGTTCCAGGTGCTGGGATTACAGGCTTGTGCCACCACGCCCAGCCCTAACTTTTAAATATAAATTATGCCTCCATTTCTAATTAGCTCGCATTTCAATATCTTGTTAGTGACGGTGACCGTGTTTTCTAAACCAAACACAAGGACATAAAGATAAACAAGAGAGTACCTCCAGGCATAGACAACTGTACTAAATTGAAATTGTTACAGGAATTTCAGAGTCTGGGGGGGGTCGCGTGGACACTAAAAATGGCTAGTACCTACATTTTAACGGGACTCATTCCATGCATATTGGAAACTGTAAACATTTTATAGCGATTGGATTGAAAACTAGGACCCATGGCTGGACCCGTGGCTTGTGCAGACCTAGCTCCCACGCCAGTACTGAGCAGCCAGCTGAGGCTACCACCCCCGGGACGCCCACAGTCTGCCGCGCGTTCCAGCAGCTCAGACCGGGCGGGGCGCGCGCCTGCGCCGGCCTCGCTCCAGTTCTGAGGTCGAAGGTTGAGCTTTTGAGTGTCCATAGCAACGCGACGCTTCTGCCTTCTATAATCCTACCCCTCCGCTCCGGCTGTGAGAGACCTGTCTGGGTGGGAGGGACCAGGGGACACATGGGGGTGCAAGGGGATAGGGGACTGGGGAAGCGTCCGGGGACAACTGCCCTAGGAAAATTGGTTTAAGGTTTGGCACAAAAGGAACTTGTCATTCCAGTCCTTTTGCCCACGCAGGGAACGATGCCTCTGGAAGTGGCGGTGGAGCTGCAGATCCGGGCGGTAAGAAATCCACGAACCCCCTTCTCCTTAAACCCCAAGTCAGAGTCTTAAATGGTTTGGGTTGTCTTCACCACCCCTGCCCGACTCGCCACACAACATTTTGTTATCCTTAAGGTTCTTTATATTTGTCTTCCTAAGCTTCATTTCAGCGCAGCCTCTTCCCACTTTTTTATTCTTCCAAAGCCAAGGTATTTCTTAGCTTTAGCATGAATTTTTAATGTTTTGAAACACTGCATGAAATTCAAGTAGGATTTTCTTGGTTTGGGTATAATATTCCTGATAATCCGCTCTCATTATGAACCAATCAAATGTTTTCTAAACTATTTCCTTTAGCGATGGTTTTGGCTTGTCAATTTCAAAAGGGAAAATCAATGAACAAATATTTTATAATTATTCACCACATCCTTCCTAAGTGAGGTGCTGGGGCAGAGTGACTTTATTGTTCTTCTGTGGAGCTGTCATTCTCATTTCAGTTTCCATTTTCCAATTCTTCAATCTGTCCTTAGTGTGCCTTTGCTTGCAAGATCCTAGGGGTTTCTGTACAGGCCATGCTTATAAGCACAAGGTAAGCAGATAGTGCTAAGGAAAATCTGGCTAGCTTCCATACCATTAGTAAATGCTGAGGGTTCAACATATATGCAGGCGTGAAACAAAGGTAATACAAACTTCTTATTCTGTCCCACTCTACTGACAGCCAATAAGGCCAGACCGTATTAATTGTGCTCTCAATTAGCACAATTGCGAGCTCTCAAAATTGAGCAGGAAGAACCCTTGAGAAGCTGACCAATGTCTTCCATATCAGCGCAGACATTTTTATCTCACTTCGTTCAACATTAATTTTATCCTGAATTTCAAAAGGCATTTATATTGTGCAATTAACTGACAGAGAAATCAGTTTTCTATTCTGCACTGCTTAGGTTTTGCTCCCCAAAGTCAGGTGAATCGTTCAGTGCTTCAGATGCCAGCAAACTCAGGCCTTGGCAATTAAAACAGGGAATCTAGAAGTATAACTAAAGACAAGAAGGTAAGCCCCAGTATTCAGACTTGTAGACACTGCCAGAGGAAATGTCACTGCTTTCCAATATCTACTCTGAATATTGCTGTGATTCAAGCTAAGGATCTCTCTGAGGTTAAACACCACACCACACCACTTAGAGCTTTACAGTATGGCTGATTGAGCAAGTAAAGAGGTGGTCAGTGTTCAGGGTATTGTAGGAATACAAATAACTGTATTTAGAGGTGTAGCAGTTCCTCTTTTGGTATAGCTCTCCTTCTCACAAAGTCCGCACTTCCTCCTGATCAGAGCTTGCTTATCACAGCCATTCTCTAAGGTTCCTATCCGGATCTCTGACAAATCAGTCTATAATTCTTTCCATTCACAAATACCAAAACAATCAGTCATTGCCTGAAGATACCAGTTCCATAGGTAATTAAAAGATTTTCATGTCTTTCCACATCAAATAATGAGCAGAGTCCACCATGGATTTGGGGGTTTCAGTCATAATGATTTGGGGGAAGACACCATGGATGACAGCTTTAAAGGTACAGGTCAATGTAAACAGAATTTAGGGGTTATACTTGGTACCTGATATAGAAAGAGCCTGTCCTGATGAATTTCAAGTTAAATACTGTTACCTAAAGCATGCTATTTACAAGAAAATGAATTCCATGTGAAAAACCAGAGGTCTTTCTTATGGTGTATATGAGAAGGTTTATGCATGTGCATTGGAATAAAACATGTTATTTTCCTGTTTTATTACTGGGAACACTATGCAGTGGAGAAAATAGGCACCAGGGCCCCGCTTCTTGTCACACTGATGGCTGACATAGTAGTATGTGGCCAGCCTAACCCTAAACTTTAACCCTCTGCTCCTCTGACTTTGCCCAGCAGCCAACTCCTCTGCCCTCTTTCATGCCATGCTGCTGGCTGTCCACAGAATTAGTGTGAAGTCATATTCATACTTACTTTTGTGTGGGTACCTGAGACATGTCCACCTTTTAAATTCTTGATTTGCTCTCCAAATGCTAAAAGAAGTATTAGAGTCATGGGAACAAAACATCCAAAGACCTTCTAAAGGCGTAGGGAAAGATTTCAATAATCTCTTTTCTCATTGCCAATCAACAAAGGTGGAAGAGATAATATATAAAAGCTTACCAAGAAAATCAGGATTAAGAAGAAATTTCCCCATTTTTGACAACAGATCTTCAGGGAATAGACTGGAAAAACCTATCTATGCCTTCAATTTTTAAAATACTGTTTCACAGCTATCTCAGGAAAAGGACGAGGATTAGTATGTGGCTTATCTGCATATATATTTATGGAATGAAGATCGTGTTTATTTCTCAAAATTCAATTTACAAGTGATATGTTGATTTATGGGATTACTACACAGCACAAATCTTAATGTCAGCTTTAAAAAAACAGCAACCGTAAAACCACTACAGCTTGGTTTCTTTGCAGTTGTCCTGGAGACAGAAACAGTTGTTGAATAGGTATATAATAGAGGGATTCTTTTTTTCTTTCTCTAATATGGATGTGTTTAGTAATGGCCTACACATGCTCTGGCTTTAGTAACATATCAAGTTGGCAGGACACCAGAAATCCCCAAAAAGCCCGAAACGTCTGAGAGGCCACTGGTTTAGGCGTGGCATCATCGAATGTGGAAACCTTCAGACCTCCGGGTGCCACCATCAGTGAGATAGTGTCATTGCTGATTCCACAGTACAAAGAGGAATGGAACATTGTGGGGTGAGAGCCAGCAATAGTCCACGATGCTGTATTGCATATAGCCCAGGAAAAAGCCAAAAGCCACGTCAGTGACATTGTGCCGGCCCAACATGACCCTGGAGAGACCTAAGACGAAGGCCCACAGCACCACCAACACTCTCAGCGGAATGGCCAGTACCAGGTGGTTCAGGATGAACCTGGACACCAGGGCAGCCCTTGTGGAGTGGCCTGAGGGGAAGGAGTACTTGTCCACGGAGAGGGTAACAAACATGTCCATCTGATTGTGGGCCGGGCGGCGCCTTCGGACCAACCCTTTGATCAGGGCCACCAGCAGGAGGTCCAACAGCAGGGCGAAGAGCAGGTTCATCAGCACCTCGCGCCCGGCCCAGCTGTCGCTCCTGGACAGGCAGTAGAGAGTGCCCAGCAACCATGGGATGCCGTGCCCCGAGATCTCCAGCAGCTTCATGAGGGGCCTCGCGCTGCCCCAAGACGAGCTCTCCCCCGCACACACCCCCAGCTTCTTGGACAGCCACAGGTCGATGGCCAGCAGAGAGCGCAGGGCAATGCCCAGGAAGGACGGGTTCAGGTCCATGCGGCCTTCCTCGGGCAGCGGGGGAGGGGGCGCCTGCGAGGGTCCCGCGGCGGCCAGGGGGAAG